TCAGAGATGGCCAGGTGATCCAGCTCTGACCAATGAGACATAAGGAGAAGTTACTGTGGAGTTCTGCAAAAGGAATCTCCGCCCCATCCCCACTTCTATTAATACAGAGATAAGGGGGAGAAAGTCATTTTGCTTTCTAACCTGCACTCTCACTTCCTGTTTTTGAGGTTATTCAGTTAGAAAATGATGCTTGGAGCTGCTGCAGCTACTTTGTGACAATGAGAAGAGACATTGCATACAAACTGAGGATGGAAGAGCCAAAGGATCAAAGGAATCCCAATCTTTGATGCCACTGTTTAGCTGGAAATCAAACCTGAGTCCTCACACCCCTAGATAGCCTACTAATCCAAAAGCAAACGACCTTAGAGTTTATGCCACTCATAAGGTGGTTTATGTTACCTGCAGCTACCCTTATTTTAAGGATGTACTAAGAAAACTTCCAATGATGGCTAAAACTTTGAAAACTAATTTACTTGTTATTGAGTCAAATGTTCTTCAAGAGCAAAGACATTTGGGTCTTTCAGCTTTGTTTTCCAAAGTCTTAGATCAGGATCTAGCACGTTGTAGATACCTAGTAAATATATGAAGCATACATACATATATACTTATGTAGACATACATATTGCAGAGTGATGTTTGGGGTGAATGTGAGTACATTCTAAAATGTTTAAAGAAGAGAAACTAGCATTTGTTGATAACCTTATGTATGAGAGCCCCTGTCCTGCTGGATTTTCCAAACCAACGCAGTACCAAGGGCAATCAATCCTGGGTGCAGGCACCAAGGGGTGCATTGATCATAAAGAATTTAAAAACAATACTGAAAAATGGACTGAAAGTTGCTCTGCTCTTTATTATCACCATGAGCTAGAAATTTTAAACAAAGTCTGTGACAAAATGCTTCACTCCAAGAAAAATGTTCTGTTCTAAATAATTGTTGTAGTTATTATTACATTTTCATAATATATAAGTAAGCTTTAAATTAGCACTTTTTATTGTTACCTGTCCTTTAACAAACATTATATTCTACACAGAAGTTAATTCAGAGAACTCCCAGTAATACAGTTGGCCTCTAAAAAGCAGAGACCCAGCCATGGGCATTCATGTTGAGACTACATTTGTGACAATTTAAAATAATTTCAGCTCACTTCAAGTGCAGTCCACATCTTCAGCACTTGTGATACCACCTATCTCTGTAGTCAAATGGTGACTCTGAATGAACACTGATAGCACAGTTATTGAAAAAGATGAAGAAGCAAAACTAGATTTATTTCATTTCTGACATTCTATGGGACTACTTAGAGATAATTTACATTTAAAAATTAAGACACTAAAGCACAGTAAAAGAACAGAGGGTTATGTTGTCTGGAAAGTGCAAATTTCAGTTCATAAATAAAATATTGTTTGAAATTTGAATTTTTTTCTGATGTGAAGCTTTATATGACATTATTAGGCACCAAAACCACTATCTACAAATAGCCTGATTAAATGTACAGTAAAGCACCATGCTTTAAAATGAATGCTTGAAGTTTAGCACATAGATATCGTGGAGAAGGCCATTTACTATACAACAAAATGTAAAGAAATAGGTCTTTGACATAGGAAAGAGATTCAAATTTCTAGAAAAATGCCAGGAGAAACAATACAATCTGCTGATGGCTAGGAGATATCAAAAGGACAAAAGGCTGTTCAGCTGCCTCAGTCAGTTTCACAAGGAACTGGATACTTGTTCTAAAGCAATTGATCAAACAATGTGAAAATTAGTTATCACACAGTAAGTTTTCCTTTTACAGACAGTTTTACAAAATGTAATAGATATTTTTGATAAATTTTCTGGTGAAGGTATTTTAGTGTTTTTTGTTTGTTTTTAAATTTTAGAGACACTTTAAAGCTTGCAGAATTGATCCCAAGAAAGAAAGATGTGGGCAGTATAACAATTTCTGGAATTTTATCAATCTGCCAAATCTATCCTCATGTTGAATACTTATCCTAACTATTTGTGTATCCGTTGATCCTTCTGAAAAATATTTTGTAATTAAAAGTAATAAAAACTCAAATTTTTGATCAACTATCAGGGACGACAGATGTACAAGTCTGGCTATGCTGTTCATTGAATATAAATAGGCAAAGACGACCAGTTTTGACAGCCATTGACAAATTTGCAGATGCCACAATAACAGAACCTGTAATGTTGTTATGTACATACAAGTGCAAACTTTTTCCCTTCTTAACAAACACACTAATATAATTAGAAGTATGAATCCTTTAACTATTTCCCTTTCTTTGTAAAGTCACTTTTTTTTTTGCTGGCATGATTATATATATGTTCATAGAAAAGTCCTACTGTCTGCATTTTTTTTCTTGCCACTGTTATTATTCTTTCATTTCATGATTATCGTGGAGGATCATTTTGTCACTTAGAGGAGAGAGGTGTTAAAAGTGACCTGCTTCCATGTATCAAGTGCGCTAGGCACAGCACTTTCAGCAGCAGCGTTTTCCAAATGAGAAAACCAAAACTCAGTGAAGTTAAGTGTTTGAGGCCCCAAATTTAAAAACTATCATGAAGAGAGTCCTGCATTAGGATTAGATGATTGCTATGCTTAGAGCCTATGGGGCTCACCAACTCAGCTCATACATGGGGTAAAGTTAACCATACATTGTTAGAACAAACATCGTAGTCAACTGCACATTGACTACACAAAAATTCATAAATTTTAGTTGATTATCAGTCAACTCCATTCTAAAGCTTTTCACCCAGACTCTCTGACTTCACCCAAACAAATTTTTCCACTAAAAAATAAATATCAACTGTGAAACTGCCTCTATGTAAGCAAAAACATTAATCCGCATTTATTATGATTCATACATGTACAATGGACTTGATTATACTTTTTGGTAATGTTACATCTCTAGTTAAGTTTATTAAAAACAGAACCCTGAGAGATGCAAAGGGAATCACTGTGAAAATCCACTATAAACCCCATACCCTCGGCCTCATTCCCCTAGTAATGTCATTCTTGAAGATATACACAGGAAAGGCATAAGGGGCCCCTTCTCAGTTGTGCTATGCTATATTCTGTTTCCATGGGAATACATACTAAGGGGATGAAATCATGAAGTACTCTAGGAGGTGCTAATAACTCAATGGGGCATAATAACCAAGCTGAAAGGATCTACATTCACTAAACTGTGGCAAGGGGGAATAATGGAAATTTGGGGGAGGGAAAGAAATGAACACCACAGACATGAGATTAAGCTGATACTAATGCCATGCCAGGTTTGAAACTGCAGATCACAGTATTTTATAACCGTGGAGCACATGTAACACTAAAACATCACCAACTGCAATTTAATTTGGTCAAGGTTAGTGTTTATCCTGTAAAGGTGCAAGCACCTCTCTTTCTTCAGTCTCTCTCCTCTCCCATAAAATTTCAACCCAATAGATTTTTTCATCATTTTTTTCTACTATTATTATTATCCTCCAGTTCATCAAATTTATCTGTCAGTTATTGTGACCATTAAATGCCAAGCAATTTGCAAAGATGATCCCATTTAAATTTCTGAATGTACTTGTTGTGTAGGAATTACTTTTTTTCTATTTTGCTAACTGGGGAAATTAAATCAGAAATCAGCATAGCTCATGAGCAGGACGTAGGACTCGAACCTAGGTCTCTCTGAGGCATTCTCCACTAAACTGTACTTCCTCATTGATGGTGTTCCTTATTTATTTGATTCAGACTTGGCAGTTTATAAACATCCTATAAAATGAGACAGCTTTTTGCAGGCGTAACAGGAATCCTAGCTTGGTCTCAAGCTTCCTAGCATCGCTAACCAATTAAGAAGAAGGTACATAAGGAGTTTTCTCTATGTGTCAGAGGCCATGATGGTTTTGGCAGAAAAGACAGAAAGTTTAGAGTAGGTGTACCAAAAAGAAGGTGAAAGAAGGGATAATACTACAGTGAAGGTATCTAAGAATGTTCCCTGCTGGGACCCATGAACTCATATGTGAGTCTTGAGGAGAGAAGGGCTGAAGCCCCAGCTAAAAGAGCTCTTTTCATGAAGGACTCTGATATATAATGCTGACAAGGGCATTAATGTAAACCAGAGTGAGAGAAAGGAAAATGCCCTAGCTCTGCACAGAAAATATGTATGGCTTTGGTGTCAGTTAGGATCAGTTATCTCCAATCACAAATAGACCCAAAAAAGTATAATGGGTCAAGCATAGAAGTGTTTCCTGTTGCTGCTTGTTTGCTTTTGGTACTGTGTTTTTGGTGTGTGTGCACGTGTGCATGTGCTCAGAAACAATAGACAATTCTAGTTTGGTGGGGGGCTGCATTCACAAGATCTAGGCTCATTCAAAGATTTAGGCTCTGTCACCTTCAACACGTGGTTTTCCAGTTTACCTCAGGGACTGATGTCAGTGGATGGGAAGAACGCAGGAAACCACATATGGGAGTTCCAGTGCACCAGGCCTGGAAATGAGGCCCCTCTCTGCAACTCACATCTGCTGGTTGGAAATCAGTCACCTGACCAAATCTAAGTGCAAGGGAGCCTGGGAAATGTAGTCTTGCTAGGTTCTCATAAGAGGAAAAACAAACAAAAAACAGGTTAACAACCAGCTAATAGACTTCAGGGAATTTAGCCCAATGGCATTAGCAGCTTTGAGAACATCAGATAACCTGAGAGAGGATTCCATTTAGTGTGGTATGAAAGCAACCCCTTGCTGTGGCTTCAAAGTCAACAAGAAAGGCCCAAGGTAGGGGACATCTACTAATAAGAGCAAGAAAGAAAATGGCTGTTTTCATAAAGTAGCAGAGATGCTCAGGGCTCACAGAAAAGGAGACTGGGTAACAACTGGGAGAGCAAGAGCTGGAAATAACTAAAATTAATAAGTGCCTATTTAAAAATATTCAGGCAATAAAGCAAGGAGATAAAAAGAATATGAATACTACTTATTTCATATTGCAATTAAAGTATTAACATTTTTGTGTGCAGCCTGCCAAAACAATTTCTCTCCTTCCCTCTCTTCCCTTCCCCTCCCCTCCTCTCCTCCTGTTTCCTCTCCTCCTCACCTCTCTTTTCCTCTCTCCTAGTCTGTAAGTACAGATCTATATTTTTACTATTAATGACTTTTGCTCCTGCATAAAATGATTGAGTAGTGAATCCTTCATAAATGGAAACTTGATTGCTCTGTTTCTTTTGTCTTCTCTATATTCTTTTTACTTAAAAACAAAGCATCAATGAATATTCGTGTTCATATACCTTGATCACTGATCTAAGCATTTGCATAGGAAAAATTTCAAGACAAAATAATGAAGTACCATGCATCATTCATACCTACATACTTGGGTACATATCCCTAAGAGAATGCATATTTAAAATTTTGAAATACATTTCCAAATTTATCTCAAGAAAATTATGCCAATTTAACCTTAGCAGTATTCAAATGTTTGATCCCCATAGTTATCAAAACTAGATAACTTTATATTTTTATAGCAAAAAAGAAACTTGCATTCTTATTTCAATGTGTGCTTCTTTGATTACTAGCAAAGAACAGCATCTATTCAAATGCTCTTTGGCCATCTTGTATTTATTGTATTTAAATATCTGTCAGTTCAGTGCTCTTTCCAATTGTTGCTCCTTTCTGAAATTTTTTGCTCTGCCAATATTTATATTTAGTTGAACTTTAAAAAGTTTATTTTAAAAATGTTCATTGAGATTGTGTTTAACACATAGATTCCCTCAGATACCAACAGCATCACCAGAATAAATAATCGCACAAGAATATGTGACTTTTTATTCTTTCTTATGATCTTTGATGCAGTTTTATCATTTTCTCCATGTAAACCTTGAATCTTTGTTTTTTTCATATTTTTCTAAATATTTTATGCATTAAGCTATCTTTTGTGTTAGAATGTTCTCCATGACATTTCTTACCTGATCCTTCTTGTTAGATAAGAGCTTTTCAAGTTTTGTATATTCATTGTTTAATCAGCTATCTTACTGATTTCTCTTTTAATATATAAGAATTTTTAGTTGATTTCTTGGGTTTTTATGAAATTAGAAATTTAACTTACTAAATATTTCTATATCTTACTTTATCTTCTTGGCTATTTGCATCACTGTTCCAAAATAATGTGAAATAATAGTGGAAATAACAGACATACTTGACTTATGTCTCCCTTTAATGGAAATAACATTGTGTATGAACCTGTGTTACTATGGTGTGTGTGTGAATGTGTATGCATATACATATGTTTATCATATTGAGAAAATAGCATCTTTTAAATAAACTTTTAAATTCAGGGGTACAAGGTAAACTTGTGTCATGGGGGTTTGTTAAACAGATTATTTCACCATCCAAGTATTAAGCCTAGCAACCATTAGTTGTTTTTCCTGATCCTCTTCCTCCTCCCACTCTCCACCATCAGAAAGGCCCCAGTGTGTGTTATTCCCCTCTATGTGTCCATGTGTTCTCATCAAGAAATAGCATCTTAATTCTGTTCCTCTATACTTCTGTTTCTTTTAGACTTCTAATAAGGAAAAATTGATAGAAGTTATTACATGCCATTTTAATATCTATCATGCTACTTGCAGGAAGTAATTCCTAGAGCTAGGCTTTGCATTTGACAGGGAGTTTCCAAGGAAAGATGAGAGAATAACTTTGGTTATATTGCATTCATTGCCCACAAGAGGAAAAGGCAAAGTTTTCCTTCATTCTGTCAAGACACATCTCCTGTAATCTCAAGTTTAGCCAATTATGAAAACATTAGAGTATTTTTAAAAATAAATGAGGACATATAAACTGTTTAAGGAGGGCAAAATGACTGCCATGAAACTGAGCAGAGATCAAGTCTTTATGTGGAAAACCTCAAATCACATCATCTAACAGGTTTATAATGTGAAACCTAAGATGTCACAGGCAGGTAAGAGCTAGGTGCACAGTTGCTTTTAAAATTGATGGGATCCTTCAGAGGGATGAAGGAATTGGTCTTTCTTGTCTCTTTTACTTCTTTTAGGCCAATATGAGAGTCCACTATAAGTAAAGGCAGCCAGCAGCCACTGGAAATGTGACCAAAGAATGTCAGAGCAGAGGAGCAAGCAGTTTTGATTTGAAGTAACTGACCTGGAAGAACTAACTTGCCCAGTGGGGAATGGGGACAGAGTTGTATTTGCTCCAGGAAGCCTTTCTCTACTTCCTCCCCCATCTCCATTCCTAGTAATATTGAACTCTTCCTTCCTTCTAAGCCCTATACTATTTAGTCCCTTTGTCATTTTCTACTCTGATTATCTATGTGCCTATTTGTTTCTCAACCAGAAAAGAAGACCATTAAAGGCAAAATACATGTGTTTGTATCACTCCCACTTATACCCTATAATGCCCAGCACAGGATCCTGTGCCGCAGATATGGTGCAGTAAACACTCATTGAATGAATGAATGAATGAATGATACACGCAAGCTTAACTCAGGTCCCGTGACAGTATTACTACCGATAATATTCTACAGCAGCTAATTTTTATGAAGTGCCTACTATACACCAAGATTTAAACATGCATCGCATTTTTAAACCTTATAATAATTCTGGCAGGTAAATAGCATTATTCCCACTCCAGAGTTAAAAAAATGAGGTTCAGTATGTCATCTGACTTGCCAAGGCTCACATAAAAGAGACTAGAGGGTCTTTCTGACATCAAAGATCATGCTGTTTCCACTGTGTTAAGTTGTCAAGTGTGGATAAGAATTTCAACTCTTATTACATTATCTGTTTGGAGTTCCTATTTTGCAAATATTACTTTGAAGAATTTTAGGAGAAAACAAAAGTATGGTCAAATGCAAGTGGGATCTCCAATGAGTTTTGAAATTGGAGAAAATGCATTACCAAGCACTAAACAAACATTGCATCTATTTTATGAGCTAATGGATTAAGTTGGATTTCAGTGGCATTCCTGTATCACACACAGCATACACATGCTCATGCCTTTCTCCAAAGCTTAGGAGCAGTTGGTGTTAATCACAGATGCAGCCAAATGGCTAGATTGTATCTGAAGAATGCTGCACACAAAATTTGTATCTGAGACTGTTGCTTATTCAAAAACATTTATGAAAGAATTCAGACACCCCAAACAATTCTCCAGATGACAGAGTAAATAGTTCCCACAATATATTTTCTTTTTTTTATATAAGGTTTTAAAGGCAAGAGCTTTTTTCATTCTAGATAAAGAATAAGTTGCCATGTAATACATGCTCAATAATCATTTGTTAAATTAGCAAAATTTAGCACTATAGAGTTTAAACCCATCTATACTGGTTTTTCTGTAAGTATTACCAAATTTTGTCTCATTTAAACAATTCTAAAAGTCTTGTAAGAGAAACTTCAAACTGAGAAGTATGAGCAAAAACAGAGGAAAGCAAACAAATAAAACCCTTGGATACCAGCTCACGAAGAGCCTCATTTATCATGACCAGAAGGGGTGAAATCACTAGAATAAGCACTTTAAGAAACTGGAAAACTAACTTCAAATGATGATGAAATCTAAAGCAAGGATGGAAAATTGTTTTCGAGATGCATTTAATCTTGATCAATCATTAGTAGCTTTCTGGAGCTTCTTGCTGAGAAGGGTCTGAAGCCAGATGCAGGCTTAGGGAAGAAAGAGCTATTCATAGTATCTTATGGTCATAGTCACATAGTCAGTCATTGTCCTGGTTCTCTTGCCATGTATATATTTTATAATCTAGATTTCAAAGGAAAAAAGAAAGATTATGACTTCAAGATACAGTTTGGTCTGCCTGAGTCATTTATTCAGCTATGAGACTTAGGAAAGATATCATTTCTTTCTCTAACTGATGAAACATATTTATTGTGACACTGAATCGTTAAAAGATAACATTTATTGAAAACTAGTATTCTCTAGGACTGTATACAGGCCAGAAATAAACATGAATTAAAAAATCAGTCTGATCTTTTTATTAACCAAATAATATGATATATAGGAAGACAACTTTTTGGATCATCCCCTGGCCTCATCCAATTCACACTCAACGCTTTGTGTTTGCACAGTCACTTAGACAGAAGTGGGACTGCTAACTCACCAGAGATGACTCGTAGCATGAGGAAGCCAGCCCGCGGAAAATGCTAAAGAAATATGGCACAATTGTGAGACTCTTGAATGCCAAACCACAAACAGTTTTCAAAGAAGAATATTGGTCCTGTGGTCCTCCGGTTTTCCCACACTTAAAAGCACTGAGAGTTGGGAATTTCCCTAGAGGAGAAAGAAAACCCAAAGCCAAATGCTTGCTGTCAAATAGCAGTTGAACTTAGTGAAAAAGATGTTTGATTTGAACCTACCTATTTGCATGTTATAAATTCTGCTCCAGATTGCTTATGTATTAAGTTTGAAAACAATGGTAGATGCTTAGTGATTTATGCTTTTTCATTAAAAAATAATATCAGCCGGGTGCGGTGGCTCATGCCTGTAATCCCAGCACCTTGGGGATCCGAGGCGGGTGGATCACAAGGTCAGAAGTTCAAGACCAGCCTGACCAATATGGTGAAACCCCATCTCTACTAAAAATACAAAAATTAGTGGAGTATGGCGGTGCATGCCTGTAATCCCAGCTATTTAGGAGGCTGAAGCACAAGAATTGCTTGAACCTAGGAGGCAGAGGTTGCAGTGAACCAAGATCGCACCATTGCACTCCAGCCTGGGCAACAAGAATGAAACACCTTCTCAAAAAAAAAAAAACAATTTATCAGCTAAAACCTGTGCTTTCCCTCCTTCTCTGTTATGCAGAGTAGCAAGGAACCTCTCTAGGAAACTTGGTTACCCTTTTTTATTTTTACTTATTTATTTTTTTGAGACAGGGTCTCACTCTGTCATCCAAGGTGGAGTGCAGTGGCACAATCACAGCTCACTGCAGCCTCAACCTCTCAGGCTCAGTTGATCCTCCCACCTCTGGTCAACCTTTTTTATAGGTACCTTTTGCCCAGTGATAGTGAAGACAATTGCCTGCAAATGCTCAGAAGAAAACCCTGCAAAACCTAGGCCTCTCAGTGACATAGAAAATATCAAAATATGAATTATATAACACATACTTATAAGATGATTCTTTAACTATTTGACCAGTTTGAGAAAATATATCCATTGTCTTAAGATACAGAATATTAGAGAAGTTCACTAATAAAGAAAAACACTAATCGGAATTCAAATTTAAAACAGATATCTATGCTTCTTCATCATCAGCTTTCAAAGTTTCACTTATTTGCTGTCCAAGTTGTGAAAAAGAAAGACCCTCACCACATCTTTTATTCTTTTATTTTATTTAGGTTGTTGCTGGGTTTTCTACCCTCTTCAATAAATTGGGTAAAGACAGAAAAAACAAAAAATGTACCCCAATCTTAACAGTAGCATTCAATTTGCCAATAGTATCTGAGTTGAAAAAATATTTATTTTACTTTATCTGAGGTTTCTATTATAAGGTGCTTCAAGTCTGTTTTGAAAATGGTCAGAGTACAAATACACAAAAAATATAAAGGATCACTGTCCGGGCCTTCTAACTCTAATCCCAGAGCTCCCTCTACCACAGGATGGCTGATTTTGCTATGCTTGTATACTCTCGAAGAGAAAGGTGAGCATTTTGTTATTAAACCATTTCAGGCAGAGATTAATTTATTCCAGCTACATACATGTTCAGGAGAAAGTGAACAAGGACAAGCTTTTTTAGCAACATATTCCAGAGTCACAGGGATCACACAGTGCTGTCGCACAAGGCCCAGTGCAAATATACATCCTTTGCTGCCAATAAGGACCCAGAAGCACTGCACACACACCATCCCAACCCACTGCACGCACACCATCCCCACACACTGTACACACACCATCCCAACCCACTGCATGCACACCATCCCCACACACTGTACACACACCATCCCAACCCACTGCATGCACACCATCCCCACACACTGTACACACACCATCCCAACCCACTGCATGCACACCATCCCCACACACTGTACACACACCATCCCAACCCACTGCACGCACACCATCCCCACACACTGTACACACACCATCCCAACCCACTGCATGCACACCATCCCCACACACTGTACACACACCATCCCAACCCACTGCATGCACACCATCCCCACACACTGTACACACACCATCCCAACCCACTGCATGCACACCATCCCCACACACTGTACACACACCATCCCAACCCACTGCATGCACACCATCCCCACACACTGTACACACACCATCCCAACCCACTGCACCCACACCATCCCCACACACTGTACACACACCATCCCAACCCACTGCACCCACACCATCCCCACACACTGTACACACACCATCCCAACCCACTGCATGCACACCATCCCCACACACTGTACACACACCATCCCAACCCACTGCATGCACACCTTCCCAACACACTGCACACACGTCATCTCAACCCACTTCACACTTATCATTCCAACCCACTGCACACACATCATCCCAATCTACTGAATACACACAATTATAACCCTACTCTTCTCCCAAATATTATAAGTCATGAACACAAATTATCTACTTAAATTCACTCTACCAGCTTTTATAACTCTAGAGTCCTTGATCCTTATGATGATACTAGCTCACTGATTTTACTTGATCTTAATGGATGTTTTAAGGGAACAGCATAGCTGCAGACATGTTGGAAGTAGTTGTACCTGCTGTTCTTCAAGTCATAGTTGACTTGTGTGATTGCCAACTCTGTCTTGTGGCTTACTTGCCCCTTCCCCTGCAGTGGCCTTGCTCTTGTGTTCAACTTCAAGGACTGACTCACTTTTCCTTCACGCCTTCTGTGCCTAGTGAAAGCAACCCCTCATTCCTACTGAAAGTAATCTCTCTCTCTCCTTTGAACTTCAGAATAATTTACGCTATTCTCCCCTCCCTTTTTGGTTACCAGGTAAGATCGTTTTTAGCTAAATGTCTTTGCTTCCCTAAAAGACTCTAAGTTCCTTTAAAGAAGGATTTTTGCTTGATTCATGAGCTGCTAAGAACCTAAGAAAAGCAGCTCATGAATCAAGCAAAAACGTAAAATGTAATAATGTAAAAGCTCAATAATGTATAATAATAAATAAGAGGACAGAATTTTAAAATATATTGTTATTAGACATATATATTATATTATATTATATATTGTTACTAGGACTGACAGTTATTAGAATTTTTAAAGCGATTAATAATGATTACCAACCTTTTATAACACACCATATCCTCTTGTTAATTGATTTTCAGTAACATCTCTTCCTAAACTGGAAAGTGATTCATGGCATGATTTTTTATTAAAAAATAATCGAAATTGGGTTTCTATTAAAACATTTTTTTGGATAATTTTGTTAATGTGGTTTTGAGAATTAGAAATCATGGTAAGAAAAGCAACACTTACAGGTGTGAACATATCTACACTCATTATTCATTTCCCAGTGTTCCAGTGTGCACACTGGGTTGGGATATGTGTGTTAATTTAACTAGAGATAGATAAGTAATGGCTATAATTTGATAGTGTGAAGAAGGGAAGTGATAGTTAAGAAAATTGTCTGCTGAATGCTCAGAAGAAAAATCCACAAATCCTAGCCTCTAAGTAATATAGAAAATATAAAAATATGACAAATTATATAACACACGCCTGTAAGATGACTCTGAACTGTTAAAGAGGTGGACAGTTAAACAGGGCATGCTTGCTCCAAACCCTCTAGGAAGAATCCTGTCTAGTATCTTCCAGCTTCTAGTAGCCCCAGGCATTCCTGGACTTGTGAACAGAGGCCATCTCTGCCTGCCTTCATGGCTGTCTTTCCTCAGCGTGTCAGCATGCTCAAATTTTCCTAATTTCGTAAGAATACCAGAAATTGGGTTAGGGCCCACCCTAATCTCATAGGAACTCATTTTAACTTGATTACATCTGCAAAGATCCAATTTCCAAACAAGGTCACATTCACAAGTACCAGGGGTTAGGATCTGAAGAGTTTTTTTGTTGTTGTTGTTTTCTCTTTTAGTTTTTTGAGGACACAATTCAATCCATAATATAGTATAATAATATACTTAAAATTATCGCCAAAGTTAAAAAATAATTGATATTTTCAGTTTCAAGAATGAACCATGCATAGATGACTTCAAAATGAGGTTTATAATAAGACACATAAAGAAACATTGAGTAGAAAAGGACGTTTTCCTACTAACTCTGTGATCACTTTAGGTTCCTAGGATTAAAAACTGTGATGTATTTTGGACTCAACAGAGATTCAGGGAAAAAGATCAACGTTGGGCAGAGGACAAATCAAGTTCAAATGTACTGCTATGTCTTTACTTGCTCAACATTTCAACTTTCACAATTAAAAGATGTATTGTGCCTTTTTTTCTTTTCTTTTTTTTTTTTTTTACCACCCAATATGGAGAAGTGGTAGTGGGTTGCATTCAATTTAAATATTCTGAATAGCATGAGTTGCCTTTCCATCTTCCCACTATCAAGTTGTAGCCATTGCTTATCCATCTATCTCTAGTTAAACTGGCATATTCTATTTTTAGTTAATAAAGGCTTTATAACATCAGAAATTAAAGATGAACGTTATCTTTCTCTGACTTCGGGGAAATTAAAAAATGCCCATATATCATTTTCTTCTCTTTGGTTGAATGAATGACGTTAGTCCAATGCCATGATGTCCAACGGATGTTCAGTCAAGTTAGTTTCAATGACTCAGGGACATTATCCAAGTAAATTGTCACCTGCTCCAACCATCAGTTACTTCACAAGCTTTCCTGTCTGCACCTTACATGTGAACTCTCCCTAGCCACCCAAGGACCACAGACTTCCCCACCTACCTCCCATCCATTTTTCTAATATAAAATTATTCTTATATTCCTTTCGAAAACTCAACTGGGACATTATGAATGGTTCCTTTGATATTCTGCTGGATTTATTTTCCTAGTGTTTTGTGTGTGGAATTTTAAAAATTGCATTTATATGTGACATAGATCTGAACTTTCTGTTATTTTTGTCTAGGTCTCAATATTATAATTATCCTACTTTATAAAATTGAGTTTTATATCTTTTAGGTTTCGAAGCATGTTTTTCGGTATTTGTGTTTTAAAAGTTTAAAGTCTTTTGAGTAAATAGAAAGGAACACAATTGTTGGGTCACATGTAAGACTATGCTTAGTTTCATAAGAAACCACCAAACTGATCTGAAAGTGGCTGTGCCATTTTGCATTCTCATCTGCAATGAATAAGAGTTCTGGTAGCTTCACCTTCTAGTATTTGGCATTGTCCATGCTCTGGATTTGCACCACTCTAATAGGTGTGAAGCGGTAGTTCACTGTTGTTTTTGGTTGCGTTTCCTTGATGACCTATGAGGTAGACCATCAATATGCTAACTTCCCATCAGTATATCTTTTTTTGGGGTGAGATATCTGTTTAGGTCTTTGGCCCATTTATTAATTTGGTTGTTCTATTGCAGTCTTTTGAGAATTCTGTTTATATTTTAAATAATAGCCCTTTATCAGATATATTTTTTGCAAACATTTTCTTCCAGTCTGTTACTTCTTTTTTATTTTCTTGACAATGACTTTTACAGAGAAGAAATTTTTTAATTTTACTGAATTCCAGCTTATTAACTATTTCTTTCATTGCCTTTGCTGTCGTCCCTAAAAAGTCACCCCATATTCAAGGTCATCTCAATTTTTTCCCATTTCACTTTCTAGACGTTTCATAGTTTCGCATCTTACATTTAAGTCTGTGATCTATTTTGAGTTAATTTTTCTAAAGGGTGTAAACTCTGTGTCTAGATTTTTTTATGTGAATATCTAGTTGTCCTAACACCCACTTGTTGAAAAAAACTGTCTTTTCTCCATTGTATTTATTGTCTTTGCTCCTTGGTCAAAATCCAGTGAACTATATTTATGTGAATTTATTTCTGGTTTCTGGTCTCTATTCTGTTCCATTGAACTGTTTGTTTATTCTTTCAAAAATGTCACACAGTCCTGATTACTGCAGCTTTATGGTGAGTTTTGAAATCGAGTAGGATCAGTCCTACAACTTTGTTCTTCACCTTCAATACTGTGTTGACTATTCTAGGTGTTTTTTAAAATCATCATATAAACTTTAGAATCAGTTTGTCAATAGCCATAAGAAAACTTGCTAGGATTTTAATTTGGATTGCATTGAACCTATAGATTAAGTTGGAAAAAACTGACATCTTGACAATATTGAATCTTCCAATCCATGAACATTGAGTATCTCTCTATTTAACCAAAGGAGTTAAAAATGTATGTCTATACAAAAACCTGCATACAGAAGTTGTATAGCATCTGTATTCATAATTGTCAAAATTTGGAAGCAGCCAAGATGTTCTTCAGTAGGTAAATGTATACATAAACTGTAGTTCATCTAGACAATGGAGTATTACTCAGCACTAAAAAGAAACGAACTATCAATTCATTAAAAGACATGGAGGAAACTTAAATGCATATTTTAACGTGAATGAAGCCAGTCTGAAAAGTCTATATATGATATAATTTCAACTATATGACATTCTGGAAAAGGCAAAACTATGGAATTAGTACAAAGATCAGAGATTGCTAGGTGCTGGCAGGGAGAGAGAGAGGTGAACAATTAGAGCACAGTAGATATTTAAGGCAGTAAAACTACTTTGTATTACACTATAATGTGGATACATGTCATTATAAATTTGCACAAACCCAGAGAACAAACAATACCAAAAGTGAGCCCTAATGTAAACTATGAATTTGGAGTAATGAGGGTATATTAATATAGGTTCACCAAACATACCACTCTGGTAATGGATATTGATAATAAAGGAAGCTATGCATGTGTAGGAGCATGGGATATATGAGAAATCTCTGTACCTTCTTTTCAGTTTTGAGGTGAACCTGAAATCGTGTTTTTAAAGTCTACTAAGAAACAAATTGCAAGCAAAAAATACGTAAGTAAAAATTTTTTTGAGTTTAAAATTTGTAAAAATGTTTAGACTAATAGTATTTTTATGTTTACTAATTTGATCACTTTGTTCCTGGCTATTGATCTATTTTTCCACTTCTCCTTGAGTTTGTTTTTTCCAATTATTATTTTCTCTACTTCATTTTGTGTTGCTATTGCAATTCTTGCTTTTCTTTTAATTGCCCTTTCCTGCTATATCCTGCCCATCCTTTTATTTTTATCATTCTGCATTATATGGTTTAGATGTTTCTCTTTTAGGTAAGATATACTTGAATCGGAGAACGGAGTCTAATCTGAAAGTCTTTGTTTTTTAAAAAGAGAATCTTGGCTCTTTTATGTTGATGCTTGTAAAATACATTAGTTTGCACTTGATAATTTTTCAAGAGTTTGTGATTTAAATGTTTATTTGCTTCATTAAAAATCTGTCTTTATATAAATTATGTTTTCACTGGTTATTTTTTCCCTGGTGATTAGAAAGGTAGAAAATGGAGTATTTATTCTGTATCTTAATGACTGAATACGCAGATTCAGTCAGTCCTGCTCTGGGCACTCAGCACTTCATTTGTTCATTTGTTTGTTTCATAAAAATATCAAAAGCCAGCAAAGCTAAATAGTCTAAAGTCTCATGACTAATTAGTACTAGAGTTGATACCAAAACCTAGTACTCCTAGCTTCAGAACAGTGTTTTCTATTGCCTCAATTTGTGCTAAAGTTTGCCCTATTCCATATGGATGAGCTTTTTCCACCTCAACAATCTATACCCCACAAATGTTCATATTTCCTTCTCTTGAAAGAAGCATTTTCCTCACTGTATCTATGTTCTCTACAATTTTAGCAGGGCATTGAGGCTGCACAGCCACAGAAAAACTCAGAATAATGTATTAGGTGGAGTGTAATCCAGTGAATTATCAATAAGGTCATTATCTTTTCAAAATCTTTTTCACTTCAACTTAATACAGGAATAGGTGAAAGGAGATTTAGGCATAGCTTTTGACATTAAGGAGCTCACTCCTCATTCACGAAGGCAGATGTATGACTAAGTAACTATTATACATAGCAGACTCATTACAATAAGCATTAAAATTTGGAAAACATCTTTGACATAATAAAGATGGCATTCAGTGAAGTTTACATGTAATTTTCTCTCATAAGCAGTATAATTTTAAAAACATCTTTGACGTAATAAATACGGCACACAGTGAAGTTTATATGTAATACCCTCTCATCATTTCTCTTTGAAGAAAATGAGTACTTCAAAATACTTTTAATAGAGATTAATTTACTCATTAGACTTACTATTAGGTTGGTATTTTCATTGAAAAAGAACAAGTACCTCTGTACAGAAGCGCACACACAGGCATATACTTATATATTAAGAGACCAAGTTTTTTGTATTTTATACATAGGGTAGCTCACTTGCTAAAGGAAAGAAAGAAGAAAGGAAAACAGGGAAAAGTTTGTGTGTATGGAGCGTGTGCGTGTGTGTGTGTGTGTGTGTGTAAGAGTTGGGATCTCACTGTATTACTCAGACTGTAGTGCAGTGCAATCATGGCTCACTGCAGCCTCCAACTCCCAGACTTACATAATGCTCCTGCCTCAGTCTCCCAAAGCACTGGATTACAGGCAAAAGCTACCACTCCTGAGAAATATATTTTTTTTTAAATAAGAATGAAGAAATATGACTCACAAAAAAAGAGAAGAACTCATCCAACCCATTTCAGTCTGTGTAGTCTCTGAATGGAGCTGTTTTGAGTTTGGATTTTCTCACTTATAACACTGTGAGAATCACATCACATTACTGATAGTGTTTTGTGAATTTAAATTAAATAAGACAGCAACTAGAAGCTGCTGGCACATGGCAAACCCTCAATAACTAGTACAATTGATTGTGACTCACATTAATTGAGCACCTGCTTTCTGGGAGCTGCCTGTCATCTCATTTAGTGTCTCTGCAGCATTAGCTGATTAATTCATCTCACTAGAAATCTGGTTATAGAAATTCCCTGATGTCACGACACAAACATAAAAAGACAATCAATGATTTAAATTTTTACCTTTTGACAAGCTCTTTGATGACACTGACACATTCCTTTTTCATGTGTCTCCAGTTAATATGAAGTTAACTCATATATATAACATAAATAAAACTGCAAAAAAATTAATCCACCCCATATTTCAAAGGTGATTTTGTAAATCACAAAGAAAGTTATGGCCTTTGTCTTGAAGGAAATTCCACATATCAGAGAGATCTTTTAAAAAGTGAATAATTTATGGTTAAAATAGGTCTTCAGTCACATTTTGAAAGCATATCCACAGCCTAATTATCACAATAATCTGGAGAAGATCCAGATTCGTGCTCAGAAATGTCTTCCAAAAGGTGCTGCTTCTGAAAACTGCTTTATTAATGATGCTGCGTAAATGCAAAGCATTATCCTAACTGTTAAGTAACAGCCTCGCTTTGCAGATGTTCTATTGTCCTTTACACAGAAGGTAACTTAAGCATTTTTTTTTTCCTCCTTAAATGTATTTTTCCCATGTGTTCTCTGTTGCTGTCATAATAAAAATTTTATGAGAAAGCTGAATATATATTCTAGGTCATTACAATTTTTCTTAATACATTTTCATTTTTAGAATAATATTTGGTTATTTACTATAAGTTGGGCTTTATGCTAATGACTTACTTATTTACTTGAATCTGCAGGGTGCTATTACATATATTTTCTCATTAATCCTCACGGCAACTCTATGCAGCAAGTAATGTTTTCATCATCACATTCCAGGAAGTGATCTGCAACCTAGAGAATTGAAGTCACTTACCCAAGTTCTTATGATTATGAAGCCACAACTCACCCCCAAGTAGTCAGATAGCAGAAGCCATGCTTTTAATCCCAGTTCCTTATTGTCCCCTAGTTACTCATAACATGTTAAGAGAAAAAAGCAAATTTCAAAACAGTAGATATAGAAGAATCTCTATTATGATATATTTCCTTGGTGTGTGTTTTCAGAATATAATATGATATATAACATATGTGTGTATGTTTACATGCATATATTTTTATGTAATATGAACATCAAATATAGTGAGAGTTACCATGTAGTACTTTCCATGTACTACGTATTTCCTATGTGCTAGACATTTCATACGCATTTTCTCATCTAGTTCTCAGAATAACTCATTATGATAGGTACTATTACCTCCCTCATTTTACAGATGAGAAGCACAGAAGAGTAAAAAAGGTTAACAAGCTCATGGAGATAGCAAGCTGTTAAGAAAAGAATCAACCAGATAATTTTATTCATTATATATTTATAAATGTTTACTTTGCTAAGTATATTAATGTGTGTATACATACATATATGTATATATACACTTTTTTAAACATTTTTTTTTTTTTGAGACAGAGTCTCACTCTGTTGCTGAGCCTGGAGTGCAGTAGCGTGATCTCAACTCACTGCAACATCTGCCTCTCAGGTTCAAACAATTCTTATGCCTCAGCCACCCGAGTAGCTGAGATTACAGGCTCCCACCCCCACACCACCACATTTGTATTTTTAGTAGAGACAGGGTTTCACCATGTTAGCCAGGCTGGTCTTGAACTCCTGACCTCAAGTTATCCATCCACCTTGGCTTCCCAAAGTGCTGGGATTACAAGTGAGAGCCACCTTGCTGGGCCTAAGATTGATTTTTTAATTAAAAATGTGTATGGCGAAACCCCGTCTCTACTACAAATACAAAAATTAGCCAGCCATGGTAGCACGCGCCTGTAATCCCAGCTACTTGGAAGGCTAAGACTCGAGAATCTCTTGAACCTGGGAAGTAGAGGTTGCAGTGAGCCGAGATCCACCACTGTACTCCAGCCTAGGTGATAGAGTGAGACTGTCTCCAAAAACCAACAAACAAAGAAAAAATATTCCACTAATGTTGCTTGAGATAACCTTTCCCATTACAAAGTGAACTTTTAAAAATAGTCTCAATATGTGACTTCCACTGGCTAAGATGACCTTCCCTGAGTCATGGAGGAACAGGCACTGCTCATGATAGCCTTGGGATGTTCCTTTGTCTTCTTTTGTGGTTGCTTTAGTTGACCAGATCCCATCAGATTGGCATGTTCATATGTAGAGGCTGTGACATCTTCAGTTATATCACTGTCACTAGCCTAAAAGACAGTTCATCTCTTTCTGGTGCCCATTCCTCTATTCCAAGGGTCAGCAAACTATAGCTTTGTTTGTTTGTTTCTTTTGTATAGCTTATTAACTCAGAATGGTTTTTACTTTTCAAATTGGTTGCAAAAAAAAATCAACAGAAGAATAATATATTACAACATTTGAAAGTTATATAAAATTCAAATTTCAATATTCATAAATGATGATTGGAACATAGCCATGCCCATAATTGTGGTATTTTAATAGAAAACAAATTGTCACAGAGAGCTGGATAAATATTCTATTGAGGGGACATTATGGCAGAGTAGCAAAGCCAGTGAATAAGACATCAGAGGCTAATTGTGAGTTACAGCTACCACCTCCGACCCTGCAACATCGAGTATGTTATTTAAATTCTCTAATTCTAATTTCCTCATCTATAATGACTAACTTGTAAGTTATTCAGAGACTCAAACTGTAATGATGTAGGTATTTATACTGTTCATATGTAAGTCGTTAGTGGCACACTTCTAATTGAGAGGACAAGCCATTATATAAGCAGAGTCAGCCAGGGTCTGGAAACATGTTAACATTCAAAAACTCGGCCTAGGCAGTCTCGGGCCAGTAAGCACTAACTTGTCTGTCTCTTAGTGGAGCACAAATATTTACATTTAAGCAGGGAGTAACATCATGCTCATTTTGATTCAAGGCTAGACTCGGTTTTTAGACAATGAGCTGGGGGGTATACTCTTTAACAAAAACAATACTAAATTATGACTACAATATAAATTATAAAAGTCAAGATTTTTGGAATGAGAAAGAAAATCACAACAAATGGCAAATCTCTTTCTTCAAAAATATTACAAAATCATATGACCACATGAAAGGGGCTTGAGCAAGTGAGTTGCTCTGAAGTTTAAGCTTTGGTAACTTGGGAGTAAATCCTTTTCTGCTGTTGTCCAATCCAGTGTCAAAAATTTAAAAAATCCACAGGTCTCATAAACATCACGAATTACTCCCACCTCATTGCATATAAAATAACTGCCCTATTTGCAAAAGCGAGGTGCTAAATATACTACTAACAAATGTTACAAATAAATGTCACATGGATCCCGTGGCTTGCTAAGCATTAAACATTCCTGCTACAAATTTGTTTCAGTCCTGAATTAACAAAAATCTGACTGGTATGAGAATTCATTCTAAATTCCAAACAGAGCCATAAGGAAAAGAAAATGTTTATTCCTTATCAAGAGAAAGTTAACTGTGGAAGTGCTACACATCTGCGGAGCCCGACTGAAATGAATAGATAATAAATAGGTCTTTTTTTTTAAATAATGAAACTCATGAAGTGAATATCCAATATAGGATCCTGTACAACACTGTTTCAGATCAAAGGTCCCATTTTCAAGCAAAAAAAAAGTATAGCAGTGGGAATCCACTGTGTCTTTCACAATCCATCCCACCCTCAACCCACCAGTCTGACAGAATGAATGGCAGAATGGCATCTTGAAGATGTAGCGGAGTGCCACCTTAGAGACAGGACCTTGCTAAGATGGGGCACCATTCTCCAGGAGATGGTCAATACTCTAAGTCAATAATCTCTATAGAGTGATACCTCCTCAAGAAGTAGAATACATGGGTCTAGGAGCCAACGAGTGGAAGCAGAGTGAATTCAATTATCATGATCCCCAGTGACCCAGCGGAGGGACTTATGCTTCTCATTCCTGAAGTCTTAGGCTCTACAGATCTAGAAAATCCTGCTGTTTCACAGAGAGTAAATACTCCCACCAGAAAACACAATGAGAGTCTGTTTCATTGAACTTTTAGGCTCTGGCTGCAACTGGCCACTTCCGGGTTCCCATACCAAGAGAAGAGTAGATGAAGAAAGAAGTCACCACATTTGTAGGAGTAATTAACATTGACCTTCAGCAGAAAGAGACTGTTAAGAAGTCAGTTGCCAAGCTGTCAGTTCTTGGTTGATAATCTTTTTTTTTTTTTCCTATTTCTTTTTAAGATATTTTCTTCATCTTTGTTACTCTGAAATTTCAGATGTGGATTTTTTTTATTAATCTTCCTTGAGATTTATTGAATCTCCTGAGACTTGTGTTTTTCACCAATTTTGCAAAGTTCTCAGCTATTATCACTTCAAATTTTGCTTCCCTTCTATTTTCTCACTGTAGAACCCCAATTAAACATACATTGGAAAATACTGAGCAGGGGCGCATTAAACAAAATTATTTACTTTGGGACTTTTGGCCCAAAGAGGTAGAGTGAATATGAATATGGGTAGGCTTGTGGTTAGAAATTCTTGAAGGAGACACATTCCTTTCCCTTTCACACCTGCCTGGCCACTTCACCAAGAATCAAGCTAAAACAGTCCCTCTGTGGAACAACTTTTATTTTAGGAATCTTGGGGAATTCTCTCTCTCTCTTTTTTTTTCTTTGCAATAATTCTTGTTGTCACATCCCACTGTGCTCAAGCCCTAAACTTTGTCTCCTGTGCTCTGCCTTCCTGACCCATTAAAACTAAGAATCTAAGATCTTCAGACTTCATCGGGCGATCTGTACTTGTTTATACTTCTGGAATCACACTTTCTTGTGTTTTCTTCTTCGTTCAGTGTTTTTCGTACTTTGCCATGTGCTCAGTCATGCTTTGACACAGCTACCTGATCTATCATTCCCTGCACTGGGAATGTTTCTCTGCATAAATGCTCTGCCACGTTGTTGCAAACAGATATCAATAATTCCTCATTTTTGTATCATTTCTGAAATTCCCAACTAATCTCTTTTTTGATATTCAGAAAACTTTATTTAGAACCTAGCTCTACAACTGTCCAGCTCTACAAATGAGACAAGCTATTTTACCTGTCCTTCCCTTTGCTCCCTTGCCCATAAAGGGAAGAAAAGATGATCCTACTTCACAGCACATTGTGAGGACTGAATGGCCTAATGTCCATACCAGTGCACCCAAGAATTATAATTTTATGATGCTGAGTCTGAGCTAGGATTTTAGAGTAGAAGGAATACTTTGTGTCTGCCCAAGGCCTCTTAGCCAGCTCCCCTCCTCTTGCCATTACAGACACACAGGGTAGGCGGGACCCACTGATGATGGACTCTGACTCATTCACTAGAATGACAATGAGGTTGTTACCTGGGCCTATGGAGCTAAGATCTCAGCAGGTCACTTCTGGCAGAGGCTTTAATTTTCTCAATGGTAATAAAGTAGGGCATTACAAGGCATTTGGTAAATGTTTATGGTCTTTGCAAGTTTTTCCCAAAGATTGTTATGAGATTCAATTTTATCTTACTGCCTTTATTTCCTCTCTATTTAAAAAGCTGCAGTTACACACACTCCTTGTTTATCATTGGAACTGCTGAAGTTTCATTCTCATGTTGTGGCTTGTTCATGCCGAAATGACCATGCTGTGCTTTTCAAACTGGGCCAAACTATTTCCCCTATCAAGAGCCTTCATGGAGTGATTAATTATCACATTGCCTCAGCTTGACTTAGTTCAAATATAAACAAATGGTAAGTACATGCAAGGGCTTCTTATTCTTAAGACCCAGCTTAAAAGTCAACTTCTCTTTAAGAGTTTCCCTGACCTTCCCCTACCACCCCAGTGTCAGTCACTTTCTCCTCTGTGCTTCCTCA